GATTATTTCAAAAGTTAAGGCCCGTAGAAAATGTGTGCGGAAAAAATTCAATATATTTCAAATATCGAGTAACTGTGAATTTTTGTCGTTAGCGCAATTATTTGACCATCTACATCTACAAAATTACGTATATGTAAAGCTTAGATATTCCCCTTTAATCATAAATTACAATTTGGGCATAAATGATTTATTTTGAAAGTTATGAGCCCTAGCAAATGAGTGCGGAAAAAATTCAAGATATTTCAAATATCGAGTAAATGTGCATTTGTGGCGATAACTCAATTATTTGCCAAGCTACATCTACAAAAATTACGTCTATGTAAAGCTTAGATATTCTCCTTTAATCATAAATTACATTTTGGGCATACATGGATTATTTCAAAAGTCATGACCCCTAGAAAATTTGCACGCAAAAATTTCTATTGATTATACAATTGGGGTAACTCTAGAATTTTGGCTATAACTCGGTTATTTTATTAGATATTTTCATCAATCTGACATTTATGGAAAGCTTAGATGTTCCTCTGTCCAATTTTAAATCATTTTATAATCTCTCCTAGTTTATATCAAAAATTATGACCCATAGAATATGGGTACCCAAAAAAATTGTGGTGAATGAAAATCTTTGGGTTATTTTTATTATGGCGGTATATCTTTTCAGCGGCTACATTATTAAAACTTGCTTTCAAAGAAAGCTTAGATATGCTTTAACCCCTTTCGATTTTATTTTACATTTATAATCTATCCTAGTTTATATCAAAAATTATGACCCATAGAACATGCGTACGCAAAAAATTGTGGTAAATGAAAATCTTAGGTTATTTTGATTTTGGCGTGATATCTCACGAATTTCACTAGCTACATTATCAAAATTTGCTCTCAAAGGAAGCTTCGATATCCCTTAGCCCCTTTTGATTTTATTTTACATTTTTGTTTAATAAATCATTGGGCCTTTCTTAATATTTATTTTATTAATCGGTTTTTAATTATGGCGATTATTTATCAATCCCACCATTAGCCATGCCAATTTAATTAATTTATTTGACCGCATTTCTCAATGCAAAGCAACGGATGATATTGTGGTTGGTTAGAAGATGTCTACTCAATTTCAATATTTCATCACGATAATTAAGATAATTTTATTTTTTGTCTAATTTCCGATAAAACCCCATGGCATTTGAAATATTGTCAAAATTTTCAATCAAATAACAAACAACCGACCAATAAAAATCCAATTGTTTACTAATAAAATGATTAAATTCAATTATAATAAACATCACAATACACCACCAAGGTAGCAACAATTAAGTCTAGTTAGTGAAATTGATTAGCCTTAATGTTATTAACAATCTGGTCAGCAAAAAACCAAACCATAAAAAATTATTTTGGCTAGCACGTGTACTAGAGAACAATAAATGGCAAAAAATCTGTAATGAATATTATTTATTATATAATTATAAAAAAAAATTAAATAAAATCATGAAAAAAAAACGGAATTACAAAATAGTTCCTGTGGTTTTCTGACCACCTTTCAAGCGCTCTCTCTCCTGAGCTCCCAGCTCGCTGGGCCAAAACAAGCGTGTTGACGTTTTTTTTGTCTGATTTGTTTTTGTTGTCAAATTAGATGCCATCCAATGTGAAGCGGAAAATATTATTATTTTTTTTCATATTTATTATATATATACAAACAACGATCGTGAACTTGAACTATTATAACAGCAGCGGCAGCAACAACAACAATAATAAAAATACAACAAAAAAATCTGTTTCAACAAGTCAACGGCTTTTCGCTTCAATGGCCATAAACTGGGCATCAACGAAATGCGATCGTCCATAGATCGTCCACAGCGACGCATCATTTGCAAAACTGAATTGAAGATTTTGATTTCAATATTGTTTTGTATTGTTGTTGTTGTTTTATAACATTGAAATCCAAAACTTTTGGTAAAGTTTAATGTGTTTTATTGTTGTCATTTTAATATTTAATGTGGCATTTTCAATTATCTGTCGGTTTATTCAATAAATTCAAATGACAGACAGATGGACGGCTGGCCGGCAGGACAGACAGAGAGGCAGTCAAACAAAAATTATAATTGGACAATTAAGGAAAACAACAGCCATAAATTTCTTTTTTTTTTTTCAAAATGGAAGAGCAAATAATTTTCAATATTTGAAACACACACACATATATACAGGGTGAGATAAAAAAAAAACGCCATAATTTTAAATTTTTTTTATTATTATTATTTTTTTTTTATTTATTTATTTATTTATTTATTTTTTTTTTTTTTGAATGAAGGCCTAAAATCTAGGAAATAGCATTCAATTTTAGAATAAGTTTAGATTTGTCCGAATTGGTCACCATTGGCACGAATTATGGCCTTCAAACGGCCAATGAAACCGTCACACGCTGCCGGAATGTTGCTCTGCGGTATTTTGGCCCATTCCCGGTGAAGTGCAACAAAGTCAAGGGCCAAAATTTTTACATTTTTTTTTTTAAATATTATTAAAGAAAGCAAAAAATGTCGGAATAGCATCAAATTTTAGAATAAGTTTAGATTTGTTCGAATTGGTCACCTTTGGCACGAATTATGGCCTTCAAACGGCCAATGAAAGCACGTCACACGCTGCCCGAATGTTGCTCTGCGGTATTTTGGCCCATCCGCGGCGAAGAGTTTGCTTGAGGTGATCGACACTTTGGTATTTTTTTGGGCCAACCTTGCTTTCCAAAACAACTCCAAACACAATAGTCCAACGGCTTAATATCCGGAGATTTTGGTGGTGGCGAGGAATCTCATTTTGTAACAATTTTTGGGTGGCGTGTGCCGAGTCCTGTTGGAATGCCAAAGGTCTGCGAGCAAAATATTTGCGCGCCTAAGGCCTTAATACACCCTCCAGAATATTTTGGCGAAAATATTCGGCATTTATTCTAATGCCAAGGTCGATTAATACGAACGGAGAGCGACCATCGGGTGTTATGGCGGCCCACACCATGACTGGCGCTTGAGTTCTGTTGGCTAATTCGAATTGGTCACCTTTGGCACGAATTATGGCCTTCAAACGGCCAATGAAACACAGGTCACACGCTGCCCAAATGGTGCTCTGCGGTATTTCGGCCCATTCCCGGCGAAGCGCTTGCTTGAGGTGATCGACATTTTGGTATTTTTTAGTGCCAACCTTGCTTTCCAAGCCAACTCCAGACACAATAGTTCAACGGATTTGTATCCGGAGATTTTGGTGGTGGCGAGGAACCTCATTTTGTAACCATTTTTGGGTGACGAGTGCTGAGTGCAATGGTGCTGCTGAGTCCTGTTGGAATGCCCAAGGTCTGCCAAAATGTTTGCGTGGCCAAGGGCTTTAATACACCCTCCAGACACAATAGTCCAACGGATTGGTATCCTGAGATTTTTGTGGCCATTGTGCGCTGCAAATGAAGCGAGGAACCTCATTTTGTAACCATTCTTGGATGGCGCGGGCTGATTACAATGGTGCTGCTGAGTCCTGTTGGAATGCCAAATGTCTGCGGCCAAAATGTTTGCGTGCCCAAGGCCTTAATACACCCTTTGGAGTTGAATTGGTAGTAGCTATGCTATGAAGCCTGACCAGAGGCTATATTCTGGTACCTGCGGGTGCCAGGTGCCCCTACATCTTCGGATCTAACCTGACAGTTGGTGTTGGCCCCCTATGTGGGAGCATCGCGGTTGCTGTGGTTTAAACCCACATCGCGGGGAGAGTGTGTTGCTCGAATGTGGAGTTGCATTACCAATCGGGTGCCTAACCCATAGAAAGTCAGGAGTTTAGATAGGCTCCGCTCCTAACCAAGGAGACGACCACGTCCAAATAACGTGCGAGTGAATTGGTGCCTACTTTTATGTTGGGGGGTGGGGTTTGTTGGTAGATGCATTGCATTCACCCGGTGCTAAGACCACTGTGAAATAGACCGCAACGTAGGTGCTCACATAAAACAAGGCACAGATACCCGCCAGAATAGTTTCGCGATAATATTCGGAATTTATTCTGATGCCACGGTCGATTAATTATGGCGGCCCACACCATCACCATGGCCAACGCTTGAGTTCCGGGGGCCAACCGAAGGTGCACATTTTCTGCTGACCTCTTTGACAAATAAAAACGATAATTTTGTTTGTTTACAAACTGCTGGACAACGAATGTTTTCTCATCGGAGACGGAGAAACCCAAATTCAGCAGTTCACCACTTTCGGCCAAGCGAAGCAACTCTTTAGTCTTTAGCCCTTTTGAGTCTATTTTCTTTCTGTTGCGGTGTAGGTTCTTGTACTTTTTGGAATTGCAATGGCTTTACCCCGAGCTCATTTTTCAATATTTGCCGAATGGAATATTGCGATGCGATATGTTCAGTTTACGAGCCATTTCAGCTCGGCCACTGCGACGACGTGGGTTTCGACCGAAGCGACTTCTTTACTTTTCGAAACATTTCTGCTGATCTATTGCTGGTTTTTATCCGTCCACTTCCTTGACTTCGGGCTACGCTACCAGTATCACGGTATAGAGCAATGGTACGAGACTCAAAAGATTTATTCACATTTAAATGCTGGAGTGCTTTAACGATAGCCACTTTTGGTTTTCCATCCAAATATAAAGAAATCACACTATCACGCTTGAATTCTATCGCGAATAACTTTTTTCTGGAAAATTCTCAGCAAAATGCTTTTGTACGCTTGTAAAAAATACAATGAACTGTCACTGGAATAATTTTAATAGCTGTCGGACGAGTGGATTAGAAATGACAACAGTCTGAATTAGGTTGCCGTTTTTTCATCACACCCTGTATATATAGATAGATGTTTGTGTGTGTGCATTTTGGACCATTCATGCCTCATTATTATTTGTTTAATAATTATGTCTATTGTTGAAAATTATTATTAAATTTAATAATACATCATTCATTTGTTCCACATACATATTTAATAATAATAACTGAAATCGATATTAATTTCTCCCCCTCTTCTCTCTCTTTCCAGAATATCTCATCTATATAACATATTGTTGTAAATATATATATATATATAAATAATATTAACAAAAAAAAAACGGAAAACCTTTAACTCCCACCGCACAAAAAACAACAAAAGTAACAACAAAACAAAAAACACAAAATGACTGGTTTTACCAACGCTGGATTTGAAAACGATGAACCTGTGAAGGTAAGTTAAAACGCAACACATTTTCAAATTAGCTTAATTAAAGGTTTTTTTTTTTTTGTTTTCAATAATTTATATATGCTCGTATGTATGGATTTGAGACGCGACTACTGGCATTCGAACGGAAAGTTCAACGAAATTTTGATTTAATTAACAAAAGAGGCAGCGAAAAGAAGAAAAAACACATTTTTTCGATATTCATAAAAAAGGGAGAAACGCAAAAAAATAAAGGGTTTCAAGAAGGGCAAGGATGGATTTGAAAATTACACTGGGCAACAAAAAAAAAAATAAATACAGGGGAAAATCCAATAGATTATGGAGGGGGAAATCCAATAGTTTATGGATAAAAACTCCCTTTAAACGGTATTTTGTTTTAAAGGTTCGGATTAAGATTTCTCGAAGATCTCTGCTTTTAAGAGATATAGTGTCTTCGGCAATATTATAGATAACAATATGAGGATTATTTTGGTGGTGCATGATAACCCTCCAGCGAATCGATAAAGGGGTCTTTTAGGAGCTTTTTTTCAAAATGTGGCTAAAAACCCCCTTAAACGGCCTTTTTTGAAAATGTTCAGATTAAGATTCCTCGAAGTTCTCTGCATTTTAGGGATATAGTGTCTTCGGCAATATTATAGCTAAGAATACAAGGATCATTTCGTTGAGAAATGTAAACCCACAAGCGAGTCGACAAAGGGGTGTTTTTGGTACTTATTTAAAAATGTGGCTAAAAACTCACTTTAAAATGCCTTTTTTGAAAATGTTCGGATTAAGGTTTCTCGTAGATCCCGGCATTTTAGAGATGTTGTGTCTTCGGCGATATTATAGCTTACAATACGAGGATTATTTCGGTGGAAGATATTAATCCATTAGCGAGTCGACAAAGGGGTCTTTTAGGTACTTTTTTAAAAATGTGGCTAAAAACTCCCTTTAAACGAACTTTTTTTAAAAAAGATCGGATTAAGATTCATTGAAGATCTCTGAATTTTAGGGATATAATGTCTTCGGCAATATTATAGATAACAATATGAGGATTATTTCGGTGGAGCATGTTAACCCTCTAGCGAGTTAACAAAGGCGTCTTTTAGGAGCTTTTTTAAACATGTGGCTAAAAAAGCCCTTCAAACGACCTTTTTTAAAATATTCGGATTAAGGTTCCTTGAAGATCCCGACATTTTAGGAATATAGTGTCTTTGGCAATATTATATCTAACAATACAAGGATTATTTCGGTGGAGCATGTTGACCCTCAATCGAGTCGACAAAGGGGCTTTTATGAGCTTTTTTTCAAAATGTGGCTAAAAATTCCTTTTAAACGGTCTTTTTTGAAAATTTTCAGACTAAGATTCCTCGAAGATTCCTGCAATTTAGGGATATAGTGTCGTCGGCAATATTACAAATAAGAATACGAGGATTATTTCGGTGGAATATGTTAACCCTCAGACGAGTCGACAAAGGGATCTTTTTGGTACTTTTTTTCAAAATATTGCTAAAAACTCCCTTTTCTTTGAAAATTTTCAAATTAAGATTCCTCGAAGATTCCTGCATTTTAGGAATAAAGTGTCTTCGGCAATATTATAGATAACAATGCGAGTCTTATTTCGGTGGAAAATGTTAACCCTCAAGCGAGTCGACAAAGGGGTCTTTTAGGTACTTTTTTCAAAATGTGGCTAAAAACTCACTTTAAACGGTCTTTTTTAAAAATTTTCGGATTAAGATTCCTTGAAGATCCCTGCATTTTAGGGATATAGTGTCTTCGGCAATATTATAGATAACAATAGAAGGATTATTTCGGTGGAATATGTTAAACCTCAAGCGAGTCGACAAAGGGGTCTTTTAGGAACTTTTTTTTTAAAAATGTGGCTAAAAACTCCCTTTAAACGGCCTTTTTTTAAATTTTCAGATTAAGATTCCTTGAAGATCCCTGCACTTTAAGGATATAGTGTCTTCGCCAATATTATAGATAACAATACGAGGAAAATTTCGGTGGAAAATATTAACCCTCAAAGGGGTATTTTAGGTACTTTTTAAAAATGTGGCTAAAAACTCACTTTGAATTGCCTTTTTTGAAAATATTCGGATTAAGGTTCCTTGTAGATCCCGGCATTTTAGAGATCTAGTATCTTCAGCAATATTATAGATAACAATACGAGGAAAATTTCGGTGGAAAATGTTAACCCTCAAGCGAGTCGACAAAGAGGTCTTTTATGAGCTTTTTTCAAAATGTGGGTAAAAACTCCCTTTAAATTGCCTTTTTTGAAAATGTTTGGATTAAGGTTCCTAGAAGATTCTTGCATTATACGTATATAGTGTCTTTGGCAATATTATAGCCAAGAATACGAGAAATATTTCGGTAGAATATGTTAACTCTCAAGAGAGTCGACAAAGGGGTCTTTTTGGTACTTTTTTAAAAATGTGGCAAAAACTCACTTTAAATTGCCTTTTTTGCAAATGTTCGGATTAAGGTTCCAAGTAGTATCTTCGGCGATATTATAGCTTACAATACGAGAATTATTTAGCTAGAGCATGTTAACCCTCAAGCGAGTCGATAAAGGGGTCCTTTAGGGGCTTTTTCCAAAATGTGGCTAAAAACTCCCTTTAAACGCCCGATTTTTTAAATTTTCCAGATTAAGATTCCTTGAAGATCCCTGAATTTAAGGTATATAGTGTCTTCGGCAATATTGTAGCTAACAATATAAGGATTATTTCGGTATAAAAACTTAACCCTCAAGCTAGTCGACAAAGTCGTCTTTTAGGAGCTTTTTTAACAATGTGCCTAAAAACTCCCTTTAAACGGCATTTTTATAAATGTTCGGATTAAGGTTCCTCGAAGATGCCGGCATTTTAGAGATGTAGTGTCTTCGGCAATATTATAGATAACAATATGAGGATTATTTCGGTGGAGCATGTTAACCCTCTAGCGAGTTAACAAAGGCGTCTTTTAGGAGCTTTTTTGCAAAATGTGGCTAAAAACCCCCTCAAACGGTCTTTTTGAAAATGTTCATATTAAGATTCCTCGAAGACCCGGCATTTTAGGGATATAGTGTGTTCGGAAATATTACAGATAACAACACGAGAATTATTTCGGTGGAGCATGTTAATCCTCAAACGAGTCGACAAAGGGGTCTTTTAGGTACTTTTTTAAAAATGTGGCTAAAAACTCACTTTAAATTGCCTTTTTTGAAAATGTTCGGATTAAGGTTTCTCGTAGATCCCGTCATTTTAGAGATGTAGTACCTTCGGCGATATTATAGCTTACAATATGAGAATTATTTAACTAGAGCATGTTAACCCTCAAGCGAGTCGACAAAGGGGTCTTTTAGAAGCTTTTTTCAAAATGTGGCTAAAAACTCCCTTTAAACGGCCTCTTTTTGAGATTTTTCAGATAAAGATACCTCGAAGATCACTGCATTTTAGGGATATAGTGTCTTCATCAGTATTATAGCTGACAATATGAGGATTATTTCGGTAGAAAATGTTAACCATCAAGCGAGTCGACAAAGGGGTCTTTTGGACGCTTTTTAAAAATGTAGCTAAAAACTCCCTCTAAACGGCCTTTTTTGAAAAATTTCAAATTAAGATTCCACGAAGAACCCTGCATTTTTGGGATATAGTGTCTTCGGCAATATTATAGATAACAATACAAGGATTATTTCGGTGGAACATGTTAACCCTCAAGCAAGTCGACAAAGGTTTTTTAAGGTACTTTTTTCAAAATACGGTTAGAAACTTTAAACGGCCTTTTTTTGAAAATTATCAAATTAAGATTCCTCGAAGATTCCTGCATTTTAGGTATATAGAGTCTTGTGTGCTTTTTACACCCTCCTTCCTCCTCCCTTCTTCAATTTTTATTACACTTTCCCTCAAGAGCATTTTTTGTTCGGCCAGATGCGTGTCTATTTTAGAAACCCGCCGGCTTGCTATTGATTTGCATTAAACTAATCTGTTTTCTAATTAAAAATCATGTATTTTTCCATGTTAACCCCACCAACACACTCTTGAGAACTACTGGACATAAAAGTCGTTGACTTTTTTTCCTGGTCGACATTTAGTTTTAATTTATTTTTTTATTAGAAAATTTATTGCCAATTAACTTGTATCTAGACTAGTTCTTGATGGATTTTTTATTTTCTATCCAATGGATTGATGGAGTTGTTGTTGCGTAAAAAAAAAAAACATAAAATTACTTCCAACAAAAAAAAAAACATACAACAAAAGTGAACTGGATTTAGATTTTTGTGGTTTTTAATTTGCCACCTGTCCAAACTCTGACCATAGTCTGACACAGTTTCGCAAAAGACTTTTACTTTTTTTCCTCACCATCAACAAAAAGTGAGCTTGAGTTCTTGTTTCTGTTGACCAAAAAATTAAGGTATTTTAGAAGGTTTTAAGATAAAATTCATTGTAGAATTATTTGAAAAGGGAAGAAAAAAATATACAGGGTGATATAAAAGAACTGCAACAAAGGCAAACACCATCATTTTTATATTTTTTGTAATTTTGTGAAGGCAAAAAATGTCGGAAATAGCATCAAATTTTAGAATAAGTTTAGATTTGTTCGAATTGGTCACGTTTGGCACGAATTATGGCCTTCAACGGCCAATAAAACACACGTCACACGTTGCCGGAATATTGCTCTGCGGTATTTTGGCAGGTTTTTTTTTTCAAAATTTAAAATGTGATATTTTTAATATGTCCCATAATCTTTCATACTTTTTTTAGGAATTTTGAAGACCCTATACACTTAGACCCCATTTAATATTGAACCCTTAATATGAAACTAAAAACTCTTAAAACACCGAACATTTAAAATTTATTCTTATGTTGAGATAATACCTAAACTTAACCCTTATATGGCCCATTTTCAATATCAATCATTTTAAACGCGTTTTTTTGGTTATTTCTTTTCACACATTATTTGGGAACGAGGAAGTCCAGTTTTTCTCTAATTTTTTTTCCAATTTATTCTTATTTTCCTAATTTTTTCTATTTTTTTTTTCTATTTTT